CTTACAGTCTCGAAAATACAGTACTTTGGGAAAAAAAGCGCCAATTACAGATACAGGAAAAAGCTACTAAGTATTTATATGTACTTTACAGCAGTAATATTTCCCATGATGCCTCTGTATCAGCATGAAAAGGTAAACTGCCACCTGTGCATTTAGAAACTCATTCTCAGCTATAGGAACACTTTTATTTCTTAATGTGGCAGAATATGTATTAAAGAATATTTGATAAAAAAAGAAAAGCCCAATTAGTGGAACACTGTCCCTTTAATACCTGCTTTAAAAGCTACTTTCAATCTGACAAACGAGCCTGATAGGAGCGCATGTTCTAAGTAAAGGTGACTGCATGTGAACGAGGTGACCTTTAACCTCTGCTGACTCCTCCTTTCCATGTGATCAATCAGTGAGGACAAAGTGGGATCAGAGGTTTGATGAAGACACGAGCCAACACTGATGGAGACGTCTCTGAACGCCGTGGAGCTCCGCGAGCTGCGAGGAGGTCGGAAAGGCCCGCCCCCTACGGCGACCTCTGCCCCCTGGACAGCGGTCGGGGGGCCCTGTAGAGCCAGAGGCTTTGAGAACGCCTCCTACCAGCAGGACGAGGATGTGGACCGTGCTGAGGAGGATGAGCTGGGGTCGGCTGCTTCCGAGGTTAATCAGACTTCAACTTTAAGAACCAGTAAAGTGAGTGAAATATAAATCTGGAAAATGACTTGGTTTTACAGTTAATGTTGGTTTAATTCCGCACTTTAGTCTAAATTTCTTATCTTTCCATAACTCATCACACAGAAGAGCATTTTAAGTTTTTGTTATACTGTAAACCAGCGGCGGCTTTCATGCGTTCCTGATCTAAACTCACTGACGTTGAGTTTATGATTCAGTATTTAGCTTCCCATTAAACCTTTTTTGAAAAAGAAAGATGATCCAACTCACTGGACTTTTTTTTTGTGCTGGTTTTCTGCTACCAAGAGATGAATTCGGGTTTGTTTGTTTATGTCTTGTTTTAGAAACAGATCACCAGTTCTGCTGGAGGTTTCTTCCTGTTCAAAGGGAGTTTTTCCTCTCCACTGTCGCTACAAGCATGCTTAGTGTGAGGGATTACTGAAGAGTCAATGAGTCGATGCAATCAGCTGGTTTTCCTTAGATAGAAAACTTTGAAATAATCTGACTGGATGATCTGGTGAACTGGAAAGGGACCTGAGATGACATGATGTGAATTGGAGCTATAGAAATAAAGTGAATAGAATAGAATCATACGGTGGGCGGTGAACAAACCGCTGCACTGCAGCCAGATTTCATCTTAGGGTAGATCTGAAATCCAACAGGGAGGATAAACACAACAGGACAGACTATCTTGCTTCTTTTTCTATGTTTTCTTGTTTGTTTTAATCTATAATCTTGTTTAAACTTTGCTGCTTCTTGAAATCCAGTCCTCTATCTCTCCTTCTTCTATTTGCTCCCCTCCAACAGAAGCAGCCGGTTTCTCCACAGTCGTACGATGAGGAGGAAGGAGTCGGCGGAGGGCAGGAGGACGGAGGAGGATTCCCAGCGTTCAGCCCAGCCGACGATCACTCTGCGGACTACGGCTTCATCCTGGCGCTGGTGTTCCTGGTGAGCGGGATCGTGCTGGTGGTCATCGCCTACACCATCCCCAGGGAGGCCAAGGTCGATCCGGATTCTGTGTCGGCGCGTCAGATGGAGAAGCTTGAGATGTACTACGCCCAGCTGGGCTCCCACCTGGACAAGTGCATCATCGCGGGCCTGGGTCTGCTGACTCTGGGGGGGATGTTTCTGTCGGTTCTGCTCATGGTCTCCATCTGCCGCGGGGAGATGTATAGACGTCGAGCGGCCTTCGTCCGACCCAAGAGGACTTACGGCTCCATCAACTTGAGGATGATGCAGCTGGCGAGCGGAGAGGCCGCAGAAGGCAGGGATGGAGGCGAGGGCTTTCTGGTGGAGCAAACAGAACCAGAGACTAGCCAGGACCTGAAATCAGAAGCAGGACCGAGCAGACTGTCCTGTGCTGCGTCTACTTCAGCCGCTGCATGTGGAGTCTAACTTTGCTCTGCATCCAGGCTGCAAATGTGCGACCTTCAATCGAGGGGTTGAGGTACCAGGATCCACTGGGATGCAGGTCCTCTGTCGGTGCAGGCAGGAGAAGAACATCAGAAGCACAGCTTCGCTCCAGCTGTCCAGCTTTATCCCAACTGGGCGAACCATGAACCGGGCTTAGAGGTTAATCTGATCGGTCAAACGAAATGATGGACTTTAAAAGAAAGGACTGAGTGAGGAAGAGAGGTAAGGCAATGAGGATCAGAGCACATTTAAAGAAGGGTTGAATATTAAAAACTATAATTCCTGATATTAATACTATTCAATAAAAAAAAGCACATTATCTAGAAAACAGCAGAAAGCAGGAACGCTGCTTTGGTTTCAGCAGAGACCAAAAAATTGTATTAATCTGCATTCCACGACTTAACTAACAGACCACCTTAAATCACGTTCAGCGCCTTTTAACTTCACAAATCCACAGCTGTTAGACAGAGAATACATTCATGATTCATTTAGTTCTAAGAAAATTAAAAGCTATTTAAGATTTGTTGTAAAGACGTAAACAGGAGGCACATTTTTTTCTAAAGTGACATTTAAATTCCTCAGCAGACATAAAAGAAAATGTCTGCACAACTAAAGCTACGTTCAGCAGCCTGAAGTCACCCAAATATGATTTTTTTCGCCCAGATGTGACCTGGATCTATGGAAGAGGATTAGGGCCACTGGAAAAATAAAAAAAAGTTAAATTCAGTTATTTTCCATTTTTTGTGTTACTGACCCTCCAAACGACTCACATCTTTGTCAGTGAAGCTGAGTTCTCCACATCTCTGCCTTCATGGTGCCCATCTACATTAAGATCCACAATTCTCAGATTAAAGTCAGAAGTCTGAGATTAAAGACAGAATTCTAAGATTAAACTCAGAATTCCGAGAAAAGACAGAATTCTAAGATTAAAGTCAGAATTCCGAGAAAAAAAAGTC